TGGCAGCTCGGTTTGGCAATCAAGGTTCCTGCTGGGTGCAGGCGAATGCACTATCAAAGGGATCTTTTTCTCCAGTCGCTTACAGCTGCTGGCAAAAAGGACACCTCGTTCGTTGGGCTCTCGACGCGTTCACGCCATTAAATGAAGTATGGAAGCGCCAGCAGAGGCAGCCATAGACATGTATACACTACGTATAACTAGACTGGATAGTCGTAGGTGCGAGAGTGGGGCTTTTTGACGTCATGTTTTTGGGGTCAAAGACAGGCCCCGCCCACATGTCCCATACAAACTTCCCTCTCACATCTCCTGTCTACGCAACTTGCGTTCACCCAGTATCTGTTAGACTTCATGCCCCTAACCAGGACTTCGAGTCCACCAAGTTTCACCTTTAACGGGCAAGTACTTTCGCAGATCAGGAAGTATGAGGTTGAGGACCATTCTTTGGGAATTATACTTGCAGGCCTGGAGCGAAAACTTAAAGGCAGATACTGAAGTGCCACTGTACTCGTCTCGTTTCTTCTACCGGAGTGCCTCCATGTGCCAAATGTGGTGGACTGGATTAGTGTAATGTAAGAAGTACTTAAAGGACCAATAAGTACTTATTAGTGGCCGAAACATCTGACCAAGAGAAAAACCTACCTGACCGATTTCTATCAATAACATATTGCCAGACTCATCTCACACTTGGAGGTGCACCTTTTCGGAGTCAAAAACACTGATCTGATACCGAAAGTAGCAATAAGGTACTACTAGGTGGTACCTTATAAACAACATACAGACAAAGAACAAAAATAAATGGATAATTTTCATAAATGGACAACTGGATGGATCTTCCAGGGAACATTGTCTCTTTAGACATTCTCATATCTAAGTGCTTAAGGAAGTTGATAAGTAAACCAACAACTTGCATTGAAAACTTCTGGACTTGCTTTGAAATGGATGGACATACTGTATTCAAGGTGGCAGTGATATTTTACTTAGGGATATCCAGAAATGATCTAGTACCAATAAAGGTTAAGTGTAATTTGATATTTAAAGAATGATGGATAAATTACTGGACAGAATTTGATTGAGTGAAGGTAACATTACTTTTTTTTTATCAATCTGGGAGGGTGACTTTTCCAAGTAAGAAATGATGAGGCACAGCTGGATTTACCTTAGTGTATGGTGTGCATTATGGAGGTTTCATGCACTAACTTCTGAAATGACTAATATGTTTGTACTAGCAAAACTATTCACTTTGGAAGGATGAAAAAAGATTACTCATTGAGGTTCAACAAACGAGACTACAAGCCTGAAACTTGCATAAATTATATCGAATACAATAAGAGTTTGGGGTGTTTGTTTTCATGACTGCTCATCCAACCTTGGAATGTTCCCAACCCGGGGCAATGGACTCAAGCTAAGTGAGTGGGATGTTGAGCATCTTGTGACAAAGCTGCCCAACACAGCCTTTCTGCCTTGCACAATGTCTGCCAACTGGTCCTTCACCAGTCATGATGGACTGAAAAACTCTTTTTGGATGTCTCTCAGGGGCATGTGACAAACTTGCCCAAACCATTGGACTGGAGATTTCTTGATCTGGAGAAGTAGTTGCTACTCCTCAAGACCCTCACATTTGGTGGCAATTAGTATCATATAACAAAGTCTTACACCAGCCAGTCATTATGAGAACCACACTATGGCAGCTTCTTTCTGTGATCTGATTCTATTGATCACTCCCCCTAAGTTTATGGCCATAAAAAGGGTTGGAATAAAAAACATGTAAAAATATAAAAAAGGGACTTGTGCCTTTTTAGAGATATCCCATTTGGGAAGCAATTTCCACCAGAGTTTCTGCAAAACTGTGGAAGCCCTGGAGATGCGAATGTTTATATCTTTTTGCATATCACCCATTGCTTGAGAAGCAGAGATCCAGATATTCCACTCCGACTGTTTCAAGGGGCCTATGCACATACAAATCTTGCCCATGTATGCAAGGAATAGGAAAGGAGAGACAATGGAACCTTTGTATAGCCCAGCACATACTGAAAAAACCTATACTCCTCCCTCTACTAGACCCCTATTAGAACAGAACTCCTGCAATCACTGCATCAGGACTGAATGGTCCATAGTACCTCACTATTAATCCAATAGTCCCTACAGCTTCCATAGAAGCTCATGCTTGTAGACCTTCCAAGATTCACGAGGTCTATCTAAAACTTTTCCACATCCCCTCTTAATATTTCCCAAGAACCTGCTGTAAAGAGCTGCTCCATCCCACTGTACCCTCCATGAAAGTCACTATTTCTTCAAAACTTCACAGGTAGGTGGACACCTTGAACTACAATGGAGCCCAAGCTAGACATCTTCACATGCACTCAGTCTCAATAAGTAAATCTTTTCCATATAAACAAAATGGAAATGCTTCAAGTCCATCAGACAAACTTTCTACTTTTTACTTTTTCCGAGAGAGAAATTGAACTGATGGTCAAGTCAAATGTCTTTCTCCCCGAATCACAGATCTTTAGACCTCTGCATCATCTGAAAAAAATGTTGCCTACAAAATGCACACATTTAAAACAATGCACTTAAGCTATTTTTTTGGTTCTTGATGTATGCAATGTAAACTTTGAATTCTGATATGAAAAAGTCCTGAAAAGTATGGTTTACATAAGAATTTCAATAGCTATGATGAATAATTTACCTGATGGAACAAGTGACAGTTTTCATTGCATCAAAAAAAAAGTATTCACACTATAATAGTGCCTAAAATCATCTTCCTCACTTTGGTATCAGTGTTTTGTTGACACAAAGGTTGACATGGTTAGAGCACAAAGAAAGTATGTTGTTTACAAAATGCATTGTATGGAGTTTGCTTTTATCTATGTATTGCAGGAAATGATGACGCTTCAACATGAATATAGTTACAAGATAGTCCGATGCGATTTAATGCTAGTTACGCCATCTCTTGTAAATCCCTCAAAACTTATTTGTACCCCCATTATTTATTGATAAATTTAATGCATCCCATTCAGAACATGAGCTCAGAATAGCTCTAGTTGAACAATTATTTAATAAGATCCATCAATGGGATTTGCCTGAGGAACTGAAAAAATTGGAGAATTCCAAACCTCTCATGAGTTGGAATTTCATATCATCCCAAACCTTGATTTCAGAAAAAGCAAACAAGGGTAAGAAGAATGTAAAATCTGGGCAAGAAACAAAAAGAACCATGTTTATTCTGTGAACTGAATCCTTTGTAATTACTAGCTCATCTTTCTTGAAAATCAATGAATCTCTCGTGAAATAAACCCATAGTCTTATAGGACTGGAATATAAATATATATTTTTTACTTCCATGCTTGGGCTGGGTTTCATCTAGGAGGAACATGCAGTGCTTCAAATAGAATTTTATCTGGAGGAAACTAGGGGGATATGTGAGAAACTTGTTTATCTTTTTGCAGAGGAGCAGGTCAGGTCTGGCTTTCTCCAGGTATGAGTATAATAATGGCTTTCAGTGAGATATTGGTGAATGTGCAAGAGGATGTAATCTAGAGACAGCTTTGCCATAAAATAGAGCCCCACCTCTATGAATAAAAAAAATTGAACTTCGCTATGTAGGTCCATCACATGAGGATCTCAAATGTTAGTCTGCTTAATATAGCAAAGTGGTCAATGAATGAACTCTCCACTTTCCTCCCACTCTTCCAACAATGAATTTAACTGCTGCTATCAAAATCGCAATAAAGACAATTAAGATCTTTCTGAAACAAAGTAAAAAAAAAAAAAAACTGGCAAAAAACTACCACTGCTGCAGTTCTATGGGGAAAATCAATAAGACAGGATCCACCAATATGAAAAATATGCCAGGATCCACCTATTGATTCAATCCATTACTCAATTTGAAAACCCTTGACCCATTGCAGTACCAAGACAAGTGTACTAGTCACCTTACAACATGTTGGAACATGCCCTTTTGTTCTATATTTTCTAGATACATTTCCCATTTGATCCTTGCAGTTGATTCTCAATAGTATGCCGATCTTTCATGAAGCAAATTATTAATGTCAAAACTTTATTTGTTTGCAAAAATGCTAATTTTTGTAATTTGACCGCTGGCACACCACCAAAATTCATACTGCAATGGGTTTAATGAGATTGAGGGGATAGATTCGAATAGAGATAATTTTGATTGGTTCAGTATAAGCCCAGAATGATTGGCTACTGATTGAATGGGCAACACTTCACACAAATTTGAGATGCAAGGTCTGAATTGAGACAAATAAAAACACATGTTATATTGTCATCTGCTAAATGGGTTGCATCATAAAAGCTCCTGCATCAACTGAAAATATAGAGAATGCTAGGCAATAGAATCAAGTCAGCATTTCTTGTAGACACACCATTTTCTCCAAATGCTGAGACCTCTTGGTGACTGGATAGTGGGGATGAAAAATAATGAGAATGGAGATTCCTCTTTGTTGTAAGATGTTGTAGCCGTATGATGCTGCCACATTCCACAGGTTCACTAAAGCAAAAGAAAAGTTGACAATCAACAGGAAGCTATAGACATTAATCTCCAAAACATAAGCCTCTCCTTGTGTGTCAAGTACCATAGAAAACCAGGATACTAGTTAGGTATACTAGAAAACTTCCTTTTCATACAAGACTATCAAATAAGGTTTTGCCAGGGTATATGCTGTTGGTTATATGAACATACATTATATAGTTAATGCAAGCAGAAGGATTGTGCTGAAGTATGATTACATTGTGCTCTCATCAGAACAGTATAAAATGCCCTTTAACTGTGCAACTATTGCTTCACACATATTCTTTTCCAAAAAAGTTGCTAAAGAAAGCTATCCCCAACCTGTTCATGCATGTGGTGATGCTTCATTAGGTCCTGTCTACTTTCCTTTATACTCTTTCTATGATGCCCTTCTTGATATATCCAGACATGTCTGGGAATAAGAACCTTGTCTGTGCCTGTGTGAATTTATTATTCAAAGTTCAATTCTTTAAGCACAGCTCTGGTAGCCAAACCTCTTAAGTCTAGGGATTTCTCTGTTCTCCTTATTAAAGTATAGCAGAAAAGCTACATGAAGAAACTCAAAGTTTTGACAAATTATAACAGACCCTCTTTGGCAAGGCTTGGTCTTTGTTCCCATGACAACCCAATGTGAATTGACATCTTCTTTAACTTCAGTTGCAGTGACTGATTGCTGTCCACTACCACTCCCATACTTCACATCATGGGAATGTAACCTCATTTTATAAGCCACATTCACCAGCTTCATAACTGACCCACATGATACCACTTGTGTGTTCAAACCTGAAAAGGAGAAGGGCATTGTTGCATCAGTTGTGACAAATCTGTATCATATATAAAAGAAACAACTTGCTTCTGAATTTGAAAGGAACCAAATTTCCTTAAATAACTTAACAATGATGACAGAAAGGAACAGCATGATCTAACTTCACATCATGTAGCTATTTGATAATGGAATCACTGTGCTACTAAATTCTCTTCATTATACCCTTGAGTACATCCAGAAGGAGGCATTAACACTGTTTCATCCTTCTGACAACCTTGCACCATCACTTTGTCAGTCATGTCACTTCACAAGTTTCCAACCCTTTGTGTGCCAGTATGGATGATCAACATCCATCACTGGTTTCTTGCTCCTAAACCTCCCATCAGCATCTACTAATGCAATGGCATAAGTATGAGGTATGAGCTACCACACTCTCATTCATGGCACTGTAAAGGCTCTCCAATATTTGCGATAGCTATTCATTTTTCTCAGAAAAATCTCAATTTCTGAATGTCAGCCACATATCATGCAAGAAGGCTTCGAATGTCCTGATTCAATCCTCGTCATCATACCTCAATGAGGTACCACTCCATATTCTGGGTCATGCCACACATTTCCTTCAGCACCTTCAACTTCAAAAAGGCATTATGTCTTGGCAGCAACCAGCAGGATTGCTGGCAGATGAAAGTGGAGAATGTTTCAAAGTGGGATTGTTTCTTACTTGGAAGTTAATTCTAATGACCAAGAAGTGGTGAGATTACCAATCAATAGTCAAGATCCAATATTCTTTCCTCTTCTGCACTCTACCAAATCCTGTGAACACTGCACATAAACCTCAACATTATTATGTGCACACTATTTTCTGATGAGGACTGAACCTCCACTCCCACATTTGATGTGGAATGTGTTGCCTGATGAAATGGTGAGAGGATGCACACCCAGTAGACCTTGTTGCCCATGTGTAGAAGAGATATGATTGCCATTTCCCTTACAATCAAATATCAGTATGCCTCAGATATCTGCAAACTTCAACTTTGGTATACCCAATCATCTAGCCCTCTGTCAGGATGGACAAGTTTCACTTTTCACTGGCACTCCTCACTCATATTTTCACACGCACAAAACACCTAACTCCGTAGGTAACTGTTTGACTCTTGCAACTAAGGAAAATCTGTTCCAACAAGGGAATAGATCCCTGAGCTAGAAGGAGTGTACCTGTTTGTGTATAGGGCAACATTCCTTTCACCCCTATCACTTCCCCAGCACTATCACCTTCATCTCATCTGAGATTGGGAAGGTGACATATACAAGGTCCGACAATAAAACGAGACTGTATTTTTTAATAGCTATATATTTTATATTATTGTAAACTGTGGTGATCTCCTTCAAAGTAGTTCCCTCTTGCAGCTATACATGAATTCCAACATTTTTTCCAACTGTCGAAGCACTTCTGGAAGTCAATCTCCTGTAAGATATTTAGAATGCCTGTTGTAACCTTCTGAATCTCTTCCACAGTTTCAAAATGTGTTCCCTTGATGTGTTTCTTCACATTTGTGAACACGAAAACTCACATGGAGCGAGATCCAATGAATAAGGGGGGTGTTCAAGTACTGTAATTGATTTTTTTGCCAAAAACTCCTAAACAGAAAGTGCTGTGTGTGACGGTGCATTACCGTGGTGCAAAATCCACTCATTGGGGAAAATTCCAGCCTCATGTGACAAACCTGCTGTCTCAGATGTTTCAAAACTTCCAGATAAAACTGCTGGTTGACTGTTTCACCAGCAGGAACAAACTCACCATGCACTATCCCTTTGCAGTCGAAGAAACAGAACAACATCGTCTTAACCGGTTGGTTTTTCTTCGCGTTTGATTTTTTTTATGAGTGCCCCTAACAGTACTTTAGGTAAAGTGGTACTGCTCTGCAATCACTGCAAGTATCATGACAAGTTTGTTACTGCACAGACTTAAGACATGCATTGACAGGTTACAGCAATCACCATTAACCCAGTGCTGCCATACACATTACAGTGTTGTCAGTCTTGTTATTTTATTGTCAGACCTTGTATGCCTGCATATATGTTTGTGTATATCAATGCAGGGTCAAAAGTAAGTGGGATTTTCATTGTTCTGAAGCATCGAGGAATGACAGTCCGTGATCTGTCTATTCATTTCTCATTCCTGGATGGGAATCACAGCTATATGCTGTCCCCATGCACTGAGCACTGTTCTGGTCAAATAACTTCAAGGAAGTCCCCCAGAGAGCTAAGATTCAGCATCAGATGGCATGTCTAGATGTACCTGCTCACCGTTACATTGGACAGCGCACTCCACATGGGAATCTGGGAGAACAGCACTCACTTCTCAAGTGACCATTGTAGGTTGCAGTGTGCACACATGCGACACCCACAACTGACTAACATCACCTCAAGAAGTGTGCATGGTACAAAACAAGGTGTGCACAAGATGAAGGAATACCCAAGACCCACCCTCACTTGCTAGGCACTTAACTTTGAACTTAACTATGTCCTTTATCTGTCCTGATTTTTTTGCCATGGTGTGGAGAAGACCTTTAGTGATCTAGACGGTGGCCAGGCAGTTCCAAGATATGAATGCAGATGAAAATTTGTTTCATCATATAAAAACATGGGAGGTTGGTAACAGACATTTTTATGGTATTCTGGAAGGTCAACTACAAGTTGAGAAAACTTGTATGAAAATATTAGTCATTTTTTAGATCCTCTTGAAATACTTATCACATTCAGCCTGTCAAAAATATGAGTAGAATACCAGCAAAATACTAAAAAGGCCATCAATTCCCCATCTAATTACAGAAAGAATAGGTTATGGTCAAGTGTGTTCCTCCTAGGGATATTGTGTTGCCTCTAAAGTTAGGCCAGGTTAAGTTGGGTTGGTTATGTTGGTGTATATTATATATCAAAGGAATCCCAATGGATGTGGCATTTTTCCAGTAGAATTCATCAAGAAACATAGGAAACTGAGAGGAGCGAAATTTCTCCATGGAGTATGTGCTCAACCATTACTGAATGAACATGCCATGGTTCTACCACTTTTTTTCCTTTACCCAAATTGCAAGGATCATCTTATTGTTACAACCTGTACAACACCTACAACTTGTCATGATAACTTAAGCATGCTTTCAAATGTTTCAGTTTTCCTGATCTAACTTGTTTTCCAAGTGAACCTATGACAGAATGAAGTACTCACCTTGACAATGTTTCACAAGTTCCAGTGATACGATCATCAGGCTGAAAACGATGGCAGGAGTTCCGTAATCCATGGTCAGGTCTGTCAAGCATAAGCCATAGGCACAAGCCTTAGGCTAAAAGTTTTACGTTCACGGTTGTGCAACGTCAGGCTACGTCACCGTCTGAATTCGGGTAAGGCCAATGGGAAGACGCTGAACCTCTTTTTTCAGGCCTATATTGGGCTAACGTTCAGCATAAATTGTGGTGAGCAATGCCGGTAGGCCCTCGTTCGCTGACACGTGCAGCACTGCCTTTCGTTGCCTGCTAACCAATGGTCGATTCCCGAATCCTATTCCATGGTTGTTAGCTCCATGCCTGAATTGCTGTTCAGTAAGAGCGAAATAACCACATATATCAGCCATCCTACTCCGATTATTTTCGCAATTGGTTCTTTGAGGTCTTTGAGACCGCATATTTTGCAAAAACCCAGACTAACTAGAATTTGACCAATATGGATCATGCCTAGTACCAAGGAGAAAGCAGATACCCGTGTGAATTATTATGGCGACCCGCTGACCCGCTGGTTAAGTCTGGCTTGGCCCTACGTCGTGATCACCGAAGCCACTGAACCATTGGCATAGAAATGCCCATGTAGACCTGGCTTTATTGCTAGCAATAGCAGGGATCTTTTACGCTGTCAACCATTGACTTCTTAGTGTCACCGACCTTGCCCTATCTTACGTTATGCCTCACGTTATTCTGTAACTTCGCCGATTATACATTTCATCTTCATTTCTTGCCCGTAGTCTTGACCCAATCAATGAGCTAAGGGACGCTATTTGACCTCGAGTGCCCCAAATATACTTGGACGGTCAGAAAATTTTGAGTGCAAGAGTAGTTAAAACCTGATTGTTGAGGGCAACATAGCTTCTGCCTTGCCAATTGACCTCGGACAATAACAGCATAGAGACCATCCTGTTGAAAGAATTTGCGCATGAATTTGTACTACCTTTTATAATGTGCTTCTTATGCTTATGGTGCATTTAAGGAAATGAGTGTATTTCTGATGGATGTATTGAGAGTAGGACTAAGAATATGGTGACCAAATTTCTGGGTCACATAAGTGGGACACCTTAAGTGCTTTCCTTGCATCCTAAAGAAGTATATGGTATTTGTTGCACCGACAATTTTATTTATTATTGTAGAAACAGGAATTGGAACTGGTATTTGAACTGCTTAGTTCATCGAGGACACAAGGTCAGGTGGTTTGTAAGCAGGACATCTGGTCACCTTGTCTATGAAACCTATCATGTTAAATCTTTTGTAAATCATTATAGAAGTCTGACAATGCATATTCTAAATTGCTTTGTCTTAACTACATAGGCCCTAGGTCAAGGCCCATGCATAGCCTCTTGGTTAGCCTATCAAAAAAAATTTTTATATTTTGAAAGTTTGTCTGCTAGGGACAGCTTATGATATGCACAAGTAAGATAAGTGGTTTGTCAGTGGAGACAGGACAGGCCAGCCTCCCAGTGTCTGCTGAAGAACCATTACTGCTGCATTTCATGAGCTGCAATAGTTTAGAAAGAGTGCTCTTGTCCATGAAGCTTACTAATAAAAGTATATCAAGTCTATGCCCTACTTGTAAGAGTAATAAATTCTAAAAGAAGAGGCTGCAGCTTGTCTCAGATGTCAGGAACTAATGTGTGATCATAGTCTCTTATTTTTTTAAGTTTAACACTAGCTCACAGCTCATAGTTTAGCCTGTCTGACAGAGAAGCTTGGTCATATGGGAGCAGTTCATTGGTTAGGTTTGTTTCTTTACCCCCAGATACACTGCAATGTGTATACATCTTTAGTGCAATTGTCTAAACCTAGCTGTTGTCTCCAGACATGACTCATTTTGGATGTGTCCGTAAGGGAAATAGAATATTTTCCCATTAATTTCTGACTTGTAGTATATTCTGCACATTTTTAGTTTGGGCTTAGGCTTAGCCCCTCATGAAGAAAGTGAGGAATAAAATTTAGTACAATATAATCAATGCCAGTCTCTACTCATTCTGGTGTAGTCATACTTTGGTATATGCTATACATCATAATTGAGTTCTGTGGACTTGATAATGTAATAGGTGATGATGAGTGACCACAGCATTTTTTGGTTTGGGTAATTTACTAGTTAAGTGCTTGTTAACCAATCTACAGTTTACTGGTTTACTGGTCAATTAATCAGGTTTCCCAATGGTTTGGCTTATCCTGCAATCACATGAAGCATATGCCCAGGTTTGATTTCATTAGGCTAGGCATAAGGTCAAGTTTCTATCCTACTGGTATTTCTGTTGTAAATGACCACATGCTGGTAAGAATATTCTTTCCATATTTAACTAGTTAGCATAACTTTGGCATGCTAGGGTAAATACCGTTTAGGTAGGCAACATAAACCTAATACAACTCTTTCTCTCACTCAACTTAAACCTCAATGCATTAGTTGAAATGGCAGATGCTTTCAACTACCCATTCAATCTCTGAACTATTGGCATTGGCTCAGCCCTATCTTTTTATCTTACAGGGTATCCAGTAGTTGTAACATAGAACCCAACTGAAATAAGTCCTTGTTGTTGGGGATGCCATCATGCCTACCTGGAGCCAAATACAGGCCCAATTGAAAAATCCCAACAATCCTGTTGTCTTCTTTGACATCACAGTTGGAAATACAGTAAGTTCACATTTACCTGTATCTTACTCTAGGCTTATGAGACCAGGTAATCATAATGAGCCATCTGGCACATGAATGGGCCAAGGCAGCATATGCCTCAGTAGGAGACACTCCCATGTATTCATCTTCATCCATTGTGGCCTTTTCCTTGAGAGTTGCCATTTGCAATTACATAGACTAATACTTTACCGCCATTCACTGTGAAAGCTGTTTAACCCTTCTCTGGGAAAGGGAACTCTGTTGGACTCCAGAGCTTTTTTCTTAATTTTGTTTTTGAGATAGCAATGTGAACATTAATTTTGCACTACTTTTCAAATTCATAGGAATCAAAAAAAGGAAAAACTTTGCTTTGAGGTAAATATAATATTGCCTCTGTTTATACTATATACCTTGAGTAATAGGGGTCCAATGGACTTGCCTTGCCCAGTTGTGTTTGTCTCTTATTTGCCATTTAAGGATCAAGCATGTTTTGGCTCCTAAATTTTTTTACTGGATCCCTTCACATGCTGTTTTTTTATGTTTTATTAAAATTTCTGGCAAGGCAGACTAAATTAGTAATTTCTGGCAGTGTTAAAAGAAGTTACATCCCTCTGGATGATCATGAGCCTCTGCTGAGAACATCACCCTGGACTAAGACTATTTAACTTTATACCACATACAGGGTGACCATGATGTAGTGATACCATTTTATGTGATTCCAAAATCTGTAATTCTGAAAATGAAAAATGAACTATGTTACAAATACAAACTACAGAGTTTGGAGATTCACTCATATACAATTGTCCATTGCATTCCTGAAATCTCAATCTTTAAAAGTTATTTCTGGAAGATGACCTACCTGAAAGTATACACACTCACAACAGTAAATAATGACATCGTCCATCACTTTCCTGATGGTCTCAAGTGAATGGGCAACACAGCCTCTTTCATGTTGCAAAATGTCCATTGTTTCTTTAGCAGTGTGACAAGTTGTTGGAGGAATATGTTCTTGGAAGAAGGTGATGGACATTTTGCTCAAACATTTTCCTTATCATGTCATTTCCCAATCAGGTGACAATGCAAGACAAGCCAGATCACTAGAACTGGCTGACCCAGATTTTTACTTGTGGATCTAATTAAAGTCCCAAGTGACCTGAACCAGCCACCAACTGTAATGGCATTAAAAAGCAACATTGAAAAGGCCCATTTCACTTGAGACACTCCCAGGAAAGTAATGGACAATTGTAAAAGAGTGAATTTCCATACCTTGTAGTTTGTATTTGTAACGTAGTGCACTTTTCATTTTCAGAAATTCTGACTTTATGATCATATGAAATGGTATCACTACTTAGTGGTCACCCTGTACTAGGCTTTGCTAACAGATTGTGGTCAGGCTTCTTGGCATTTTTTGCCTAATTACTCTCAATCATGTCTCAGGGTCATGGTTTGTGATGTGCCAAGCATCTATGTGATAGCAAGAGTGAAATTAATTTCAAATGAAAGTATACAACAGGTGGCAAAGAATAAAAATCCTATTTGATGCATTATGAAATTGACAAAAAATTCTAAATTCATACTTCTTTTGCATCACATTGGTAACATTAAGAAATTTGTTTCCTGAAAATTTTGAGTATTAAGGTCTTCTGGATAAAAAGAGAAGATAATTCAAAGTGTAGGAACACATGAGGTAGATGCAGTCTCAGCACTGCTCAATAAATCTTACTCTCCTTTTATGCCACGAAGACTGTTTTTTATGCTGTGTAATTGTCATGTTATTCTTGATTGGATCATGTCTTTATGCCTCGTGAGAAGGTAAGGCCAGAAATAGATGGTGTGTTCAGAGCATGAGTGGAGATGGAAGAAAATAGTGAGAGTTTCCTATCAGATCATGGACTCTGTTCTGTGAAGTCTCTTCCCTCTCCAGCCTTTCTTTTAAAATCACCCCTTTTTTTGCAATGACTTTTCCTGTAAAAGATAAGCCATCATTACATGCACAGTCAAGTACATTGCAATAAGAATGCAGCCATTAGGAGGAGGCTTTTTTGCAGCAAATGGGACATCATTAGAAAACTGCTGAAACTGCTTCCTCCTGATACAAGGAAAGGTGGAATTTTCCTGTTGAAGTTTCAATGACTGTTGCTCTTTACCCAAACAGCCAAGAGACTTCAGAACTTTCATGAAGCAAATTTTTAAATGTTTTCTATGTGATATAAAAAATTGCATTTCAACAGTAGGTTTTAGAAAGTCTCAAACAGATCACTTTTTTTGTCACCTGGCACTGAACCTTCAGGTATTGCATAGATGTTGACTTTTTTATTATTATCTCTCTGGGCATTTTCTAATCCTGAGTTGGAGGTAAAATGACTATTTCATCTCTCTGCTCCTAGGAAATTGGCCGTATGATCTTCGAACTCTATGAAGATGTAGTTCCTAAGACTGCTGAGAACTTTCGCCAATTCTGCACTGGAGAATACAGAAAGGATGGTGTCCCCATTGGTTACAAAGGGGCCACATTCCATAGAGTCATCAAGGACTTCATGATTCAGGGAGGAGACTTTGTGAATGTAAGAGCAATCCTGCACCCTAGTTTAGTTTGTCCAACAGACATTTTCCGCTTGGGTACACATGCTCTCATCTATGGTGTATGGAACAGTCTTCATTTCCAATAGTATCAGTGGAAATGAAGGCTCATTTCCACTGATACTATTGATTTGTAAAAGTACATCATGTCCACTACATTTCTGCATTCCACTGTGATGAAGAATACATTTTTAGCCATGCCTGTTTCCTTGTTTCACCCATTGTTCATGGTAGCAGGATAAAATACAGAGTTCTTAAATGTGAATTGAGAGACTTTTTCTTGCCCCCCTCCTCCTCCAGTGTCTCCTGACATCATTGCAGACTAAACTACTATAGATTACTGCTGCTGTACCCTAAGCTGCAAGCATGCCATTTTCACTGCCATGAGCAGAATTTAGCTGTTGCTTTTTTCTTCTGAACCAGTGTGTCATGGTTTTAAATTCTTGTTTGAGATATTTACCTCTTATCTCCTAACTGACAATGGGAAGAACCAAGAGGTGCCTATAATTACTTTAATAGTCAAAATCATTTATCTTCATTTTGTCATAAAGTAAAAAATGTTGTGGGAAAATAAGAAAAAAAAACCTTCCAGAAAAAAATTCCTTAACCTTTATAATTATTACCTTTTTCTGGTATGTGGGATACCATAAGCAAAGATAGGTTGTAGTGGTTGTACTCTTTAATAGAAGTTCTTGGATTTTTTTCCCATAAAACAGAATTGTGATGCCTAAAGATCCATTTTGAGAACTTTTACAGTAATATGCCTTTTTTTTCAGGGTGATGGTACAGGAGTGATGAGCATATATGGAGGAGCATTTGCTGATGAAAATTTCCACTTGAAACACAGTGCCCCTGGACTCTTGTCAATGGTAAAGGATTTCTACACACTTTGAATCTGATGTCTATGATATAGATCACTAGCAGCAGTAGATGAGGGAAAAAGTTAGAAGCCTTATAAAATGTGATAGACTATTCTAGAATGGAATTCTGCAAGTCCTTGGTAATATTCGGATAGGAAAAGTTAGTTTCAATGTTATGTAACTAATATTATCACAAAGAGGATTCTTGCTGGGCATTGTACCATTTGTCGCAGGGTTCAATTAAATACATAGGTTCTCCAGATGAATCCTACAGTAGATGGTCTAAGGTGCGACCCACATGGGTTTGTGACCCACCTCAGTTTGACGTGTGACCCACACCTATTAGAGCAGACTAAACTGCTGTTCACTTAAACAGAAACAATGTGAATTTCATTTTCATATATACAAATATACGATCAATTTACTCTCAAGGCACTCACTAGAAAGTGTCTTTTAGCGCCTGAATGTAGGCCTCAAACCTTCCAGCAGGCGGGTTGAGGCCCCGTCACCAGGCCTTAACGAGGTACCTAGGTAGAAGTTCTGGCGTTGTCCCGTGCATCTTCTTGAGGACCTTCAATTTTAAGCCCACCCACAACCTCTCGATTAACTGGGTGTGGGCGCCAGTGTCGGGGTCAACAAAGTTGGTGCTGTGGTTCACCGTGCGGTGCACGTACCCGTGAACCTGAATCCCGCCATACGCTGGCCACTCGTCTGAGTGGAGGATACTTCCAATCTCGACCTCCGCAGTGATTATGGTATGCAGCGTTGCTCTGTCACGGCGCTGCACCACAAAGAAGCGACGCTCTATTAAGCCATCCAGGCGCTTGTGAGCAAGTCCGAATACCCAAGGCCCCTCTATTCGTCGGCCGTAGTTTCGCGCACCAGCTGGCACAGCGTTGGATTCGACTTCCCCGTCATTATCAGTCTCACTTGCCCCGTTTCCCGCTGCCTCAACATCACCTTGAAGCAGGCGTCCCCAGTGTGCACGACAGCACTCTCCTCACTCATAATGAGTGCATAAAACTCGCGAGCAAGCATGGCCTGTTCACAAGAACACGAACAACTTATGTTACCATGAATGGAATCGATATATTCAAGTAAAAAGGGGAAAACAATAATATGTATTTACTCCAGTGTCTGCACAGGAACAGGTGAAGCAAAACGCGAAAGACAGAATGTGCATGTTGTTTACGCTATATATCGTTAATTTAGCGCCAAACAGGGGCGAGGGTGTGGTGTGTGTCTTTGCAATGATCAGTCAATTAGCAACGGGCTGTAGAGGCCCAATTGGTTGAAAGCGTGGGCACAGCTGTCCATGCAGCTATACAGTACAGCTACATTTTGCAGTGGGTCACACCTTAGATGCATATAGTACGGGGGGGTCACACCGTAGACGATTACCGAATGGTTCAATCATGGCCTATATCTGCTTCAGCTACTAAGTTGAGTTTAAAGCAAACTGCAAGTCATATGTCTACTTTTAGAAGTTAGAAGTTCTGGTTGTAACTCTTCAGCTGGCATGAGGTCATCTATGGCTTTTGCCTGACTGCTGAATTTGGTCAACAAAATTGACTCTTGCCAATTGGAGTCTGATAGTTGACACAAAATGCAAAATTTGCCACTTTGCCAAAGTGGAGTCTTGGTTTTGCTTCGAACTTTTTCTGTATCTCTGTACTTAATGACAGGAGAGTTATACCAAAGCTACACATTCCATTTGTTTGTCATGAGAAACTCACTCTTTCATTTTTGTGTTTCATGGAAAAAGATACATAAGCATCCTCAGGTATGTATTCAGTTCTTTCTCTGATCATTCACTTCATGAGTAATACTCATTCCTTACTGCATCTGAATAAATGATAGTTAAATTCCATGTAAGCAAAAGATGCAACTGGTATTGTTCTGGGTGCTAGGAGCAGTGAATTGTATTTTCCACTTACTTTTCTTTGACATGCTTCTATTTATAAATTTTATTCATCAACATGTTTGGTGTCTACTGAATCCTTGTCAACATTTCCTTCTTGAATTATTTGAAGTGCACTGGCATGATCCCAGTTATGCTAAGAATGCTATGTAGTATTTCTCTTAAAAATCCTTCCAGATGATGGCTAGATGCCACATTCCTGAAAACTGTAGATTGCTCAGGCTGTCCTGCAATTTGAACTGCTTTTTCCTTCAAACTCTGAACTCCCAAAGCTCCCTTATAGGACCATGTACCCTTTAATTCTAAACAATGGTGTCAAACCATATGTATGGACTTAAGGTCAAATGCTAACTTCTGGGAATTTCCAAAAGTGTGATGAATCTTGTACTTAATGTGCTTCCCCACAGTCACTCTCTCACTCTCTCAGACTGGGAGAGGTGGAGAGAAATGGGGCTTCAGGCTCAGTCCTGGAGGGACACAAAAAATGTGCCAATTTGTGTCATGTAGCTTTTTCAATTTATCCACTCCAGTTTCTTTTTCATATTTTTTTTTATAGCAGATGCATCAGATTCAATTTGAAGCTTTCCTTGTAATCTTAATACAAAAGTCACACTGAAGATCTGTCTCGTTCTCATAACATTTTTCTTTTAAAAATGAGTTGTTTTTTTTTTCATTTTGTATCAGCCAAGATTGGGCAATGTTAGACTGATATTGAGAGAATACAAAATCATTTAGCAAGATTTGAGAGTTGACCTTTTGCCTTTCTTTTGGTTTTCAATTCCCCTTTTCAGGTTGGAACCCCTTGACATTTGATATAATGAGCATTTATACCAATAGCTGCTTTTGCCACTATCTAGATTTAGGGTTCAGTGGTTGTTTGTGAAGCCAAGGAAACCCATTTTCCTTCATTATTTTCAGGATTCTGCAATTCCAGGATACTTACCACATGAGTACTTCACCAAAATTCCTCCAAGGAATCTTTCATCTACCCTTTGCCAGAGGTGTTACTTCCTCAAGCACCACAATGTCGCTCTGAATGTGAATGTTCCCCCAGAATCCTATGCTGAAATAATATCTCCCATTCGAAACAAGACAGCTCTGATCCTACTCATAGTTGACTTGGTTGATTTTCCCTGCAGTTTCTTCCCAACAATATTGCAGATTGTAGGTAAGTGTTCTTTGCTGACCCCAGCTAATTGTTTGCCTTTTCAATAAATTATATATCATTGCACCTAGAATGAGGTTAAGGAGTGATCAAGTCAAAAAACTTTTCAGGACATAAGCGCCCACTATTCATTGTTGGGAACAAAGTAGACCTGATCCCTCAAGATTCAGATGGTTACTTACAACGGATCAAGCGTTCAATCTTTGATACCCTTGTTTCTGCTGGAGTGAGTCCTAGCAACATCAAAGACATAGCTGTGATATCAGCCAAGACTGGCTATGGCATTGAAGATCTCATCACACAAATTCACAATATGTGGGGAAGCAAAGGTGACTGTCCATTTTATTCATTCCCTACTCATATTTCAAGGAAAGTGGACAGGAAAATGCATTTATGAATGCTTTGCAGGTGATATATATCTGCTGGGCTGCACCAATGTAGGAAAGTCAAGTTTGTTCAATGCATTGCTCCAGTCAGACTTATGTCAGGTGGAGGCTGTTGACCTGGTGGAAAGAGCCACTGTTTCACCTTGGCCTGGCACCACGTTGAATCTCCTTAAGGTTTGATTGGATTGCTCAATGTTTGCATGGTGATGAATATGAAGCTTGGCATATCACAGTTGACAAAATTATACCATGTAATTTTAACATTTTGTGAGTTTCGCCTTGAGGAATAACTTAATACCTTAACTCAGATTTATTTTCTGAATGATGCCAACTCTTACCATGAGACATGGCCTATTCAGTAGTTTTGGTATCTCTGGCAGGTTTGGCAGCTATGGAATTTGTGTTTGATTTTGTACAGGTTTCTTTACAACTAGTCATTACATTTACTGTTATTTGCTTTTTTATTTGTTATTTACTTGTTATTTTGCATTTCAAGGTCAGCTCTTGGAGAAAAGTGCTATTTACTGGTGTTAATAAATTCTATCATTTTGGTTTTTTGAAAAGGTATGATGTTAAGTATTCCAAGATTGTTGATGTTAGACAATACAGAGATATATAGGGATCTGCTTACTGCAGTAGGAATGTTCTTAGGAATGTTTCTTGTAGTGATGGGCAATATGGATTTTATTGAATCACTATTAAAATTGCAAAGGAGGAAGGATATATGTCATTCCATCCCAATTCACCCAACTGAAAATTGATCAGCTCAGTTCTCATGAATTTTTTGGAAATAGATATTTGTTGGAAGTTTGGAATTGATGGAAATTGCTTCTTTTTTTTTACAGTAGAGGCTATGGAATTATTTCAATATTGGGGGTAGTGCTTATTGTGCAAAGCATAAAGTGCTTTCAATGTTTAGTGTCTACAGAAGTTGCAATGGTAGCACTTTGATTATGGTCTCATTTCAAAAAGGAGGCCAAGGAAATTTTGAATATGGCTACTTGGTTGGAAAGCTGTGATGACAACAAAGAAAATAGGCTCAATGAAAAAGTTAATTTTTGACAAAAAGGGATATTTTTTCATTAGCCACTGTTAATTCTGCTTGTTGAAATTAAAATAATCCCTGTGTCACTGACACTATGCTTCCCATGTCTCCCTGAAAAACTAATATATGGGCAAGTTTTCTCAGGCATACTTAAGGAACTCCTCTTTGAAAATTGTGAACTTGTCAAAAGTGTCTTGCTATTTCTCTGGTCTGCTTTAGCTTCAACCCACTTAGTGCCAGGCTTTCCAGCAAGGGATGTGTGAAAAGTATCACACATGTTTAGGTAGAGGTCTACCACACTCTAGTGGTATGCCCAATACTGCCCTCTGTCAGCCCAGTAAGGAACCAGCAGCAAAAAATTTTGTAGCTGAAATTTTGACCCATAGCATTAAGAGGGTTTATGTAAAAAAAAAAAAAACCAAACAATTATTTTCCACTTGATGACCTTTTAAAATGTTCTTCTACTGTCAAGTTCAAAAGGTAGGCAAGGGACAGATTTAAGCAAAAAGCTTAAGGGGGTCAGAAATTGTATCACTTACCCTAGATTGTCTAATTGTTCAAATGCTCATGGATGATTAGTGCTTATTAGCGACAGTCTATACCTTTGTAATTTATTATTTGGTGGTACTATAGTCTGGTATTTCTGTTATTCCATAATTGAACCCATTGATCCATGAGATGCAGTGTCATTTGATTTTTTTTTAGTTCATTCTCATTTGATCAATCCTTTCTTGAAAATATTGAAAGTTTAAAACTTTAAAATATTAAAAGTGGAAGGGACAAGTTATCACTGACTGAGGTTTTGTTTTAGTTCCCCATTTTGAAGCCAGCTGGGTGGATGTTGCATGAGCGAACTAAGCGGCTACGACTTCTCAGTGAATTTCAAAAAGAAGAGGAGAAGCAGAGGCTTGATATGCTCCAGTCAACGAAAAACCCTGTTTATGCTACTTTGATAGGTATGTATATTAACTGTGAGGTTAATACTTCACTTTCTAGATATATTGATAGATACAAAAGTCATTCACCAAATGTCATTCCATGGTGAACTATGATGAATGAGAGCAGGGATAAATGCATGTGCATTGGGGCTGGTCTGGAAAAAGGCACATAAAGCCACTGCTTGTGAAAATCATGTTTTCACTAGAGGAGTTTGTTACTCATTCTGCCTTGCAAATATTAATAGAATTTGCCAGCTATTGCTCTCTTTGAGGTATGATCATGACTGCTTCTGAATAGTCCTGGACTCAAAACTAAAATTCTGGGTCAGCTCATGTCTTTGATCTTTATGTGTGCATGCCTTATCTACATGTGTCTTCCCTAGCAAGACATTTCTCATCCTCTCTCAAGTTATTTCTACCCCAAAGTATTGACTAGATCTACAGTATGTATACAAGACAAAGTTATTGCTTATTCTTTTCTCCTTTTGAATGGTTCAGATACAAAGGAAGAGATTTTTATTCATTTCGTAACTCTCACTTGAAAAGCGTGCACATTCTTTCATCATTGCTCTATGCCTTTTTCAGGACATCTTGGTCGTACCTTCAGAGAAAACCCCTCTGTAGTGAGACCTGACCCTTTTGAGTTTAAAGTGGAAGATCCATCTGAGATGAATACTGAGAGTGAAGACAAGTTGGATCCTCAGAGCAAACACTACTTCTACTCTCAGTGGTGCTATGATACTCCGGGAACTGTCAACTTTGACCAAGTAAGCTAATTTAATGTAGAAAAGGGTGGCTCAAGATGATACAGACCATTTGAATACAGTAATATCGATAGTCTAAGTGATCTTTATGCCTGCCATTATGCTCAACATAAGTATAATTGCACCAATCTCACCCTCTCCATTTACCTGCAGATTATCAACATCCTGACAGCTGAAGAGTTGATGCTGACTCTGCCAAAGTCAATCCTAAATCCACGGACATTTAGATTTTGGCCCAATCATACCTACTTCTTGGCTGGTCTGGCACGCATTGACTTTCATGGCTATACTGATGATTCATCTGATGGAATTCTGTGAGCTCTCCTTTCAGTTCCCATGTCATAGCTAGAATGATTTACTGGACACTATAGGCCATATGTTCTGAACCTGATTCAGCTTCCTATCAGTTCAGTTGGATATTGTATATGGGGGGGGGGGTGTTCTGTGTGTAAAGGGACAAAATGTCACAAGTTTTTACTTGCACACACATATCAATTGTGCCATAGGTTTGCCACTCTTATAGTTCAAAGTCAGGCACTATTTTATTGGGTCAGGTGGTTTTGTTAAAATGCTCTAAAGACTTAGTTTTGCCAAAGCATATTCTTACCAGATTTGAAGCTTGAACAGCAGTGATCCATGAAATTTCTTATTTGGGTCAGCAAACTTCTCTCTGAAAGTCATGAGATGCCAAGGGATGGATATGGTGAGGAAGCCCCTTCCTGTTGCCAAAACTTTGAGCAAAGGGCTTTAGATGCTGAGACATTTCTGAAGATCCAAAGTCATAACCATTCCACATCCCATTCTGACAGCAACAACAAAGATATAGATCCTTTAATCATGAAGAATCATTGTCCGACTATTAAAGACACTTCTCTTGAACTTGGAATTTATGCAGGAAGTCTGTATTAGCATCATTACTGATGACTTGGACTTGAATGTTTTCCAGTTAGGTACCCAATTGCTCAGTTCTGGACAGATGCATCACTAAGTGAATGTATATCAAAAGCTGGGTACTTTCATGCATACAAGTCTTATGGGATGGGTGCATCAAATCCTAAGGGTGACACTCTAAACATGAATTAGAGATGGAAATTTCTTTGAATGCAGCTGCTCCTTGGAAATGGTTCATTTGGAACACCCCTCCCCAGTGACTAATTACTATGCCAAGTAAAATGCCAAGTTTTATTTTAAAAACATTCAATCCAGCATGTGTTGTTCTTTACCTTACTCCTTGTTACCCTGAAAATGAATTATTGATACACAGTGCATCTTGTCTTGTTGCTTCAACTTTCTTCCAAAGTACAGCCTTTGTATACATTTGAGTGAGGGGATTAGGTTGACCAAGTCCATTTGTGCAGCCATTAATGCCCTTCGGTTAGAGCAAGACATCTTGAGAAGGGGCCTTGTGACTAAAGCTCATTGACTCCTCTTGATTCAAATTTGTCAGGTATTTTATCAGTATTATATAAACTTTGCATCTGATGCAACTCATATTGTAATCAGAAATTTGATGTTATGCCCAATCATCTATCCCAGATGGCAGTCAAATACATTGTGCAGAAGTTATCTCAGAAAACCAGATAACTCTAGTCCTGCACTTAAGTTGGCTGTTATGCAAGCTTGTTCTAATAGCAGTAGCCAATGGAAACGTTCCAAAGGCTTGGGGTATCATATCAATTGTACATTAGGTTAAGCCATGGTGGTTGCCGAGGAAGTCATCCATGAGGTCAACTGGAATAAGCCCCACTCAAATTTGGCTCTAACAACACGTAGATGAGACTCATTTTGGAACGTTTCTTAATGTTTTGAGGCATTCCTGCCCTTTGTTAACTCCGCCAAGTACCCATATACAGAGTGGGCCAAAAAAAAATAACAAAGCTATCATTTTTGGTAAGTTGTCAATCTGATTAGAGGCTGCTGATTTTGATGAAATTTGGTAGGTACATAGGATTACTCAATTGGGATTTGTGTGCCGAGTTTCAAATTAAAAAAAACTGTGAGATTGACATTTAATTTACTTGTCATCACCAAAAAAGTACGTGTTCATTTTTTCTTTCAACGTCAAATTTCTCACAACTGACAAAAACCAACAAGCAAACAAACAGAACAAAAACAAAATGTACAAATGCCGAAAACGAAAGCACACAATTTGGTTTAGATAGGTTCATTTCAACTGAAAAGATGCTCAATGTGCCCTCCATTCGGTCGAACACGAGCCTCTTGTCTGGGACGCCACAGATCAACGGCTCGGTCAATAAATCTTTGAGCATCTCTACAGCATCATCCAAGGATGGAAGGTCATGAATTCAGTCCTTCCTCTAATACCAGCCTCAGGTTCATATCGATATTTTCGACAGCACCTTTTGTCGTGGGTCATCAGAAAATAGAGCTCCTATTATTTTGGAGCCCTAAGGCTGAAATTAGGCTCTAAAACTCCAATAGTTTCACCCTGTAAGCATACCAAATTTAATCATAATCGGCAGCCTACAATGAGATTGACGACTCACCAAAAATGACAGCTTTGTTTATTTTTTTGGCCCACCCTGTATAAGAGCATCTGGCTTTGAACCTCTGTGTCCAGGATCACATTTTTCGCATCCCAATATCTCCCGATTGTCTACACATTGACGTCGGACGCCCAATCTTTCTATGACGAAAACTTGGGCACAGAAGTACTCCTGGTGCCTAGAGACAACCAGAAAGGACGGCTAGATTCATGGCCACGTATGGGATCCACAACCGTCCAGGTGGAAGGGGTGGGACTCCGAGAGAGTGCAGCTGATATCGTCCTCTCCTCAGCAGGTAAACCCCAATCATTCCCTTTTTTCCCTATGTCTATGAATTCCTTCCTGAATTTCCATTGCTTTGTAGGTTGGGTGTCAGTGACAATTCCAGAAGGGAAAAGATGTATATTCGAAGTCCACACCCCTGGGGGACGAGGAGTGTTCCTTCGCCAACCCCCTATGCTTCCATTTGCAGTCAATCTGAAGGGATCATCTGTGAAAAAAACTCCAGCTTTCAGGCTCAGCAGGCCTTATACTCCGCGAGAATGACCGGCGTGACATTTATATTTTGTAATAGGCAGTAAGTGAAATAAAGGATATACTTTTTCCTGATGGAACCTTTTAGTAAGCTGATTTATGGGAAGTGAGACAAAAGAGAATGGGTATCTTGGCACCAATACTTGAGAGATGTCAAGAAAGGACAGCTCTGGTCGTCATGATGGAATTGGAGTAATTTCCAGAACCTGACAGAAACAATGTCTGGCGAAATACAGTCTACCGGTCTGGCCGTGATCTTGGTAATTGCATTTCGTTTGTGTTAATCTCCTGTGAGGAGGTAGGGTGACTTCCCATTTGACCATTCCGCCCAACAATGGCGTGCTGTGCCTAGGGGGTGAAGAATGGGTTGTCGAGGTGAGGTTTCAAAGATTCAAGAAAATAAATCTCGTGAAATGTGCACACACCAAGTGCACATCTCTCCGTGCTCACCTCCCTTTGAGATGTCATTTTATTCTTCCGTGAGATACACATTAGTTTGCACATTTAAAGATGGAAAGGAAACAGTTAATCTATCTTCATCTTGTATGAGATGCAACCACCTCCAGAAGATGCCTAAGACGGAGGCATTAAGTCGGAAACACATTCTTGAGTGGGACATGGTACGGCTCTCGCCACTTGCCAGAGAGGGAATGGGACGATTCTTGGGGGGAATGCAGCCAAGCCTCATGGGGAAGAGGGATCATTTATCCTACATGTGGGATCATTGGATGGATGGGTAACAGGATCCTACTTTCTACAACTAAATTGCCTCCTTTGCTGCAGATACCAAGAAAGGAGTTCGATCATTTTAGACTATTAATTTTCCCATTCAAGGAAAGACAGCAAAACCTCAACTATGTCAAGTCGAAATGATAAAAAGTTGACAATGATTAGAAGCATCGTGATTGTCATACTTCTAGGTGAACTAGTCCCGCCGAAACCATTTTCTTAAAGATGATTAATAAGGTCTCCGAGCAATACATGCTCGACGAAAACGGCGAGGGAGAGGAGATTGATCACGTCATTCATATGCTCCCATTTTTATTGTTTCATTCCTATAGAACATTTGTTAAGCCTCATGAAAGAATGCCCTCGTTGCAGAAACAAAAGAGCCGATTGAAAATCACATGAAATAATTTTAATTTTTGCCTCGGAGCGGCGTAAGGAATCACACCATTGTCAAATGCTGCCTATTTTCTGTGGTCTACAGACTATTTAAAACTAATAGTGACTGGTCTTCTGTCGCGAGCCTACGCATGGCGCTCTTTGGACCGAGTGGCTTGTGAGCACGACAGATTGCGATGCGTCCCTGCACTTTCGGCAGGTGGTTCGCTGTTGATTTTTGCTCGCGACCGAGAAGTGCCGCTTCATAGTCACGCGCGCTATCGCACCAGGCATATGGCGACGAGTGTCTGCAGAAAACTGCCATGTGCAAATGGCACAGTTTGCCGCAGGTCATATCGGCGTGGACAACTCTCGCACGGGGTGCAACCGCTGCGACAGATGCCAACTTCAATTAGGTCAAGTTATTATTCGGTAACGTCTCGGTTTTTTTTTCTAAAAGTCATCAGGCAACAGGGCAAAGGCAACAGTGCCTGTTGCAATATCGTGCACGTCTCAGAGACGGTTATCAGTTAAGCAGAAAGGTGCTACTGGATGTTTATGGAAACCGCAATCCGCCTTGTTCACATCACACTCTACGTACCACCAAGTGCGCACACGCCACAACAGACCGATCGAAATTGTTTTTCACAAGTCCACAGACTGTACACGATGCATTTGACATCGGTGCGATAACTGGCACCAGCCTGTTAAAAAAAAATCGCGAATTTTTCAATCACACCTCGTAGAAGCCCCTTGTTTTGTGCTGCAGTTTTCCAATCGACCACCTTGAATGAAATGAAAGTGAAGTTCGACCAAATGCTGTGCCTTACTGGCTTACTGCGAGAAACGAGAAAGTGAGTTCTCTCTTGGTCCGTCTTGGCTAAATGATGAAAGTGATTATTGCGAATACGCGCGGATCACGAAGACGAGGTGGACACTGAGCAAGGTCATGGTTTTGAACATAATATCGATGATAGTACAGTACGCGTCCACTTAAGGAATCCAGTCAACTGTGTCAATTTAGGTACAACCATCTCTCGGAGGCATACGCAGGACGGGAGGGGGGTGGGGGCGGGAGGGCGTTGTGAGGGGTCAAGCCCCTAACAACGCCTCCCGCCCCCTCCCTGAGTACGCCTCTTTACCATCGGTATAGTACGTGTCCACTTGGTCAAGACCGTCCACTTAGGCCCATATATATTGCGTCAAAAATTGGTGGAGGGGGATTCACAGCGAGACTCCGTTCTGGGACATCCTCGCCGAGATCAGATGGCAGTGCAACCAATGTGATGATCCATCCCGGACTTGAAAAAACTTGTTCAGTGCTTTTGATGTTTCTGAGTTCTTACAATTAAGAATTAATGTGGTTTTTTTACGCAATGAATGTGGGCCTAAGTGAACGGTCTTGACCAAGTGGTCACATACTATATCGATGGTACCGAGGCACTGAGGCAGGGAAGGGGCGGGAAGCGTTGTTAGGGGCTTGGCCCCTGACAACAACCCCCGCCCCCCGACTCGTCAACCTTATCGCTACCAACCCCCCCCCCCCCCTCCCGTCCAGCGTATGCCTCCGAGATATAGTTGGGCCTAAATTAACACAGTTCACTGTATTCTTTAAGTGGACGTGTGCTGTACTATTACCGATACGTGAATCGTGCGATTGTTCTGCGAGACGCTCTTTTTTCATCGTGTGCGAATGACGAAAATGTGGATCGACGGAAAATATAGCAAAGCGTCCGCAGGAACCCGAAGCCAGCATGTCATTTCGTTAAAACTCCGTCTCCTCGACACGAAACAACGACATAGAATGGTCAGCCACCGACGGCCACCGAACCCCTTTCGAAGTCTCGACTAGTGGGCGACGTCACCAGATTAATGAGTTATTAGAAAAGAGGCCATACGTTCTCAACCATGACTCGAAATGCATTTGAATCGCCCTGGCGCTGAGGAATTGCGGGAAGCGAGGCACCCGTCGCCGATACGAGACCGTAATCGCTGACGGGAACGGAATTCCAAAGTCTAGATATCTCTGAACTCGTGGACTGCACCCATTTGACCTTGGCCTTGGCGCGTAGAGGTAACTGAGGTCACATCCTCGGTCCCGCTCGTGAGTGACAGCTCGCGATCGCTCGAGTGCAGGCACCCCACTTCCCAGCTCGAGGATGCAAGTGAGAGGTGAAGTATCGAGGTCGTGGATGCCTTTCGCTTTCGATGGACATTGTTGAGATAGTTCCAAATCCGTGGCCAACCAACTAGTCCGAATATAACGAGGACGAGGCGGAACGCGACGAGTTCGGATCTCGAGAGGAATCTCCAACTTTCTCGTGCCGGGCCGGAGGAATCCCCCGTTAGACTCCGCATGCCACCCATTTCCAGTTAGAAATGCCCGATCCGAAACGAGAAACCTCCCCCTCGAAGCGCCATCCCCCCCAACAATGGCACGCCGCGCTACCGAGTGCCGATCGAGATGACATCCGATTCCGCTGCTTTCGGCGGGTGAGGCCGGCGTTATCAGGTGTCCGGAAAAGAAAGCGTGCGCCGTGTGGGAAGTCTACGGGGACTTTCCCGTTGATATCTAGGATGAAAAGGAAATAATTAGTGTTGTCTCCACTGGCTTTCACTTCTACAACTGCGATGGGAAATCATGATTTTCCACTATTTCCGCGATTTTATCAATGAACCGATAGCCACGGGATGTCGAGTACGGCATGTCTCATCAACGTATTTTGTGGTTATGCTTACTTCGTTACGTGTTCTTCTCCAAACAGTGATGTCATGTAATGTAGGTGCTTTCGAATTATTTGCACACAATCTATTTTTCAACATTTTGTGATTGACCATAAAATTTAGCGTATCCGCCTTGTTTGACCACGACTTCCCTCATCCCGGTAGTAGCTTTAGTGCAGAGGAATGTGTTGGAAGTCCCCAGATGCCCAACGGGGGGTCAACCACTTTTTGTTGCAAGTTCCCTCGTCGAAGGAAACTTTCCGTACCGAATAATTCGCTGGAATGAAATCCGTGTCCTACGACCAATATGAGAAGCAGTTCTAATAACTTCCGTCGCGATGTCACGCTGTGGCTTGGTTCTCAGCTTTATTCCCTTTACCCCGTTCGAGTTGGCACTGAACAGCAGCAGAAGCCGATGCCCATTTTTCACGCGTTCGTCACGACTGAACGGAGGAAGCCCAAACTTGGGTTTTGATGCTATACGAGACGTGTAGCCGGAAGACGATCGCACGCGCAGAACCGGCATTCGAAGCTTTCTCCTCGACGTCGAGCTCTTCGTGATGAGAGAAACCGAAGAGAGTCTGCACGCACGAGCAGCCGAACCGCGAAAGTACGCGTTCCCCAGACCGTGCAAGAAGACCATCGGTGCTTCCAAATGCGACAAGCAGTCAGTCGTTCCCGACACCCAACCGTGTTCGTCCTCCAGTTCGACGGGGTCCGTTCAGCTATTCGGTGCATCCTCTTCCGACATCGCGAAGTCCTCGCGCCAAATCCTTGCCACTTTCACCGACGGTTGCGACTCTCTGCCAAACGAAGGAGGGTTTGCAGAGGAACGATCGCGTATCGGTTTCTGGCACATCGGAGGCGTTCTGTTTTCTTGCTCCAGCCGCTTCTTTTTCGTCGAAGGTGGTTTCTGAGTTGTTCTCTCAACTTATTCCAAACTTCTTCATGTGTTCAAAAGTTCCTCCGAGACTCACCGATTGGATCTAGTCAGGCGTGACTAGTTTATTTGTTTGAATGCGGTCTGTCCGTGGACTAAGCTGCCGACCTGCCATAAGGCGCCTAGGAGAGTCAGGTGATTTTGACCCGATCGAGTTCCTTACAGTGAAGCTCAACAAAAGGAATCGATGTAAGTTTTTCTTGCATAAAGTATAAATAATCAACTAACTGTCTTTCGATCGGTTCGGTGCACCCTCTGTTCTGGGAGCGAAAAGCGCACGACAAGCTCATATGACACAGTCTGAGAGTAGCGAACGGGTTATGCAGGGGGACGATCCTTCTTGGCTGTATGAACATGTTCTGTAACTCTCTCCTTGCCTCCTAAGATAGCCAAGGTGGGAGCAGTCCAGGAATAAATCACGAAGTGAATTCATTCCAGGCTCACTCTTCTGCAAGAGAAGGGGATCATATCCCGTGAGAGACGCGAGGAGATGGGAAGGCGTGTGACAAGTGGCGAGCAGTAGCCGGCCACTTCATGCCACTCGAGCCTGCTGTGCATGCGCAATCTTTCCGCCTCGTTCAACATTTGCTGTGGCTTTTGCCATTCAACAGTTTCGAACGAAACTGTCGAATCGCGGCCCTCGATCCTTCATGGCGCGTTTGATTTATCGAAACGCGCATCGGAGGCCCTACTTGTCACAACTGGATGAACCGACTTTGAGTAGCGCCCCCTTTCAAGCAAATTTAAACATCGTCGAATCGATTTGAAAAGAAAATACGAAGCCAATCCAAAAATATGCGGAGTCATGTCAAGTCCTGTACAGCTGACATCGTAATGTAACGGGACGGCACTTCGCGAAACGCCCTTCATGAATAAGTGTAATTCTATCGGGATGACGTACATTTTATGTGCCTCTCAACGGGTACTATTCCACAACAGTCCCGAGATCACGTTTTATGTTGACTCTGGCTCGTGACTAGGTAGAACAGAGGTATCATACCCGACTCGTCACCGGTTGAACCGGCCAAAAGATAAAGGATAACGACTTATTAGAACCTGGGTGCGCCCTACCGACGGAGGTGGAATCCGATAACTGAATGGGATCCTATTCCGTCGTTCGCTTCTTAGTCATTTCCTTTGTTTCCCGCGCGTGATCATGAGTGTAACTATGTACTTTATGACTGTGCGTCACTATTTCCTATTTTATTCTTACTTTCTCCTCTTTTTTTTTACATCATTCATTCGACCCGATCCGTCCCTAACAGTAGTGACTCGATGTGCAACGTGCACCGGGACTCCAGTGCTCAGTTCCCTTCCTGTCACGGTTCCGTGCGTCTCTCTCTCGTATACCTCTCTCAGAGTTCAAACCCGGTCAAGTTCAAACCTCATTCCATCGTTTCGTTATTCAGCTCTGCTCTACGGAAGTTCTCGGAGGCAAATAGTGAAGCAACGTAATTTCCGCGCGGTGATGAGAGGTTTCAAGCAATTTTACGAATCAGGGCGAAACAGAAAGTACGATCAGTCGTTTTGGAGATGATAATTACGGGAATGTTCACTTCGGAAAAAAAAGAGAGAAACGCCTCGCCAATGAGATAGAGAGCACGGTCCACGGCCCGGCGCCTTTCTGTCTGGTCCGAACCGGGGTGTCCTCATTTAGGTTGCCGTTTCTTTTGCCCTGAGCATCCATGCCCTCAGGTTCTTCGCGTCAACAACACACATAAAAAACTTCCTATCCCATTCCGAGACGCCCTCTTTTTATGCCGAAGAGGATTCCCACCCAGGTCATACCATCGGGCTTCCGTTCGAGTAAACGAAACATCTCCGGCTGCTTTTTTCCATTGCTGGCGGGCTCACTTTTCTTCATGGATGACCGACCGTATTCCGTGCACATCTCTCCTTGCCCTTCTTATTCCGTCGGTATAGTGACCGACATACACTCCCTTGTATATCAGCTCTCTCTCATTTGCTCTCTCTCTCTTTCTCTGTCTATGTGTGTGTCTTTCTCCCTCTCTTTGAATGGGAGTGAAGGTGGATTTCATTTCATTCTCGGATGCCTAGAGTCCCGGGAGCCGCGGAAGCTCCCTGGCGTCATGCAGTCCACATTTCCCAGTGAAAAGACTCTCGCCCAGACGTTCCTCCCCCCTTTCCCCAGTGAATCTATGGGACGCTGTGACCTTCGGGATGATCGGTCCTCCCGTAAACGATATCGTTTACTTTTCCGTTTCGTGTATATGTTACAGGCTGAGTATGAAAAGGGGCATTCCATAGAATGCCTTGGTTTTCTATGCATTACCTTAATTTTATACTCTGCCTGTAACATATATATAGTTTACAATCCTTACTCTTTATTTATTCTTGCAGACGGGTGAGGTTCATAGTGAGTATTTAACAGACAAATCCCACACTTTGAACTGACGTATCGATCATATTTGTGGTCTAAAATGAAGATCTAAAAGAAACGGAATAGTCTGAGAACACACTATCGCACAAAAAATGTCCAACGTGGAGTTTTACCCGTTGGAAGGCTCTCTTGTGCCTCGCATGGAGAAGCATTTGTTCCTGTACCGGAAGTTCGTTCGATCGTGGCCCGACGGCTACGTCATGAATGCTTACTTCCCCAAGTTCCACAAGCAGATGCAAGATTTCGAACTGCGCCAAGACGATATCTTCATCATCACTTTCCCTCGCTCAGGTGAGTTCCGTTTTGTTCGTGTAGTGCTAATCACTCCCTCATTTCGACGGACATTAGGCAGTTTCTAATTCCATCGTCTAGGCACAACTTGGGGACAGGAATTGATTTGGAACATTCTCCACGGTGTTGATCTCGAAGCAGCCAAAGAGAAACTCATGTCACGCTCTCCGTTCTGGGAGTGAGTCTTTCGAACATGGTATCCACGAAACGAAAAATATATATATTTAGGGTAATTTAATGCAAGTTGGCATGTCGGATCCTCAGATACGATGGGCTCCTCCCGCCACGAGGAGTCCTGGACGTCCCAAAGGAAATCATGCAGTATTTCGACAAGGAGGATCCCACCTACCTAGGGAGGCATTCGGAATTCATGGCGAAAGTTTCGTCGCCCAGGCTCATCAAGACTCATTTGCCTCTGTCCCTGCTCCCTGATCAAGTCAAGGAGAGGAAGGTAAATTTTGCCTCTCCGTCGTCCCAGGTATCACGCACACACGCAAGCCCTGAGCTATGGATTCCTTCCTCCAGGTCATATACATTGCCAGGAACCCGAAGGATGTCTGTGTATCCTATTACCATTTGTTCAGGACTGCCAGTGGGTTCATAGGATCCTTCGACGACTTTGTCGACTACTTCCTCGAAGATATGAGTGAGTGCCTTTTGCGAAGCGGTAGACTCACCACTCGTTCCTGCTTCAAATACTTCTTTCCCGGTGCTCTTGTCTGTTTCCATCCAGTCATGTGGGGTCCTCATTGGAAGCATGTCCTGGAGCACTGGCATTGGAGGAATTCCCCTAATCTTCTCTTTCTGACATACGAAGAAATGTCTCAGGTTACAACCGTGATTCTTCATCGAATGAAAAAAGTTCAACAGAGGCACCTCAAACCGGCTTAACCTCAAATTGAGCCGCTATTCATCGGTTCTCTATTACTTCTCACTGGGAAATTTTTGCTTTTACTATCAGGCCCCATGACGTAAGATTAAGAAGCGTGCACGTTGATCGAAAGAGTTAATAATACGAAGCTGATGTCCATTATCTGCATTAAATTACCTACCCTTTGAGCTAATTAGGTTTTAAAAAAAATTACAAGAAGAAGCAAGAAACACATTCTAACATTAGCATTTTGAATTCTACAGAATTTGCAGCAAGTCATCTATAGGATCTCTTCCTTCCTGGATCGCCAGCTCACTTCTGAACAAGTTCATCGCCTGATGAATCACGTGAGCTTCGAGAACATGAAGAACAACAAAGCAGTGGCCTTCGAAAGCAATTTTTCGGTGTTGACTCAGAAGGTGAGTGCTGCGGCGTCGTGATCGCTTGGCGGGCACTTGACCCGGACGTGACTCACGCGGCCGTCTTTCGATTCCTTTATCTGGTTTTTCTCGTGAAAACCCGGAATGCATGGGGTTCGAAGCGTTCTCGAGACACGGAAAGAAGGAATGTAACATTGGGTGAGCGAAATAAAATTCACTGATAACACGACTCCTTCACACGCTGCCGATCACGAGATTGTTTTCCTCTCTAGACTCCATATATGGTGACTCAGTCACACGTACATGTTAATCGGCGAAACTTGACACGGCTTGTCGAACATGACTGGGATCAGAACAGGTTTACGAAGATTATGAAAAAAAATAGAAAACCCTCTTTGTTATCGGTGGGTGTTACTTTCCTAATATTTCCTGCATATGCTACTTAAAATCTGGCATGTCAAATGCCATTCTGATCAGTAATGGGCTGCCAAATGCGCCAAAAATCAACTGTGTAACGAACGTAAGAATTTATTTCTGAGAATAAGAACGAACCCAGTGCATCTGTACCGGCCTTTTATCTTATCGAACCCAATGAAATTTGAACTTGGCTCACGTAGGAGTCATGCCCGATGCGTCACCACCTCGCGGCTTTCAATTTTTACTCGCTCTGCGAGTTACTGGGGTGCGCGGGGACGCCGATAAGATAACTCGGATGGTTGACTCCGTTGGATATCATTCTTCGAATGGGAAGTTTTCACGGCCGAGTGCGAGGTCAAATCTTCGCGTACAGATGGCTCTGCCTGTCGGGTGAACTCACTACCCGATGGAGTCCTTATTATACTAAAACTTCTTACAGGTTCGTGGGATATGTCATAGACAATCGATGTCGTGCAAGACCTGGAGATGGCTCTGCCTGACTGATCGGGGTTTCCACTCATTCACAGAAACCGTTGCGCCAGTGGCCCGTTGTGCATTAATAGTCCAAGAAAAAGCTATTTGAAACAATGAGATTGGAGTTGGACCTTTACAATAGCACTCATTCTGTAACAAATGTTCTCTTATTGGCCATTGATGCAGCTTTGGCAGCTCTAGATATTTGTACAACAAATGAGAAGCTGGATTTTTATTTGTCTCGTTTCCCCCTCAACAACGAGAGACGGCAAATTCTTCTTTTTTTCTATGCCAGATAGTGACTCTTGCCTCATGAGAATATCAACTTTTTGTCTTACTCGCTGGCAGGCGATGAAGCTGATCGGGACCATCGGAAGCGGAATCCAGTTCCTGAGAACCGGGAAAGTGGGCGGATGGAAGTGTTCCCTCACCAAGGATCAGAATATGCGCTTCAATCGCTACATCAGAGAGCATTTCTCCGGCACGGGGCTCCCATACAAACCGGACGATATTTGATTGGAGTCGGGAGGAAAAACATATGGAGGAAGGAACGCCGTGTGCGCTGGCGCATACCTCGCCACGTCAAATGTCAGTCCAGTGAATTCCGAGGAAGGACTAAGTTCAAATTGTAGTGTTTATTACCTGCATTTATAATTTATGCATTTCCGATCGCGCAAAAAAACAGGCCCATTGTCGTTTCACTGGGTCTTTGGGACCCTCGTTGCCAACTCTGTGTACTTTGCAGGCCTACGAGTGTATTTCATATGCGTTGAAAAGAAAGCATGCCTTATCATCTCATTGCCTCCTTTTTCTTAAACTGGCTTGCCAAAAATAAAAAATGTTAAATACCGTCTCTCCCATCTAGTTTCTCTTTCGTGTGTTAGGCATACTCCGTAGATTCTTATGATTGTGAAGGTCTTATAAGAACTTGGTTTCCTTGGGCGTTTTACGGATTTTCATCTGGACCAATATCTTTTTAGTGACCTGAGGTTTTGCCACTATGTCTTTCAATATAGTCTTTGGAGAGTTCTTATTCATAAATTTGCTAATCCCATCTTGTGCAGATAAGGTGGTGGGGAAAATTTTTCCTAATTTGTTTCCTATTGAAAGCTAATAATTAAAAAATATATACTTTCGTTCCTTGGATGAAACACTGACTTATTGGAATAATTTGTTCAAATTAATTTAGAAAGCGCAACATATCAGGGATCCATTTGTTGAGAAACCCTTTGGCTTTATTTGTCACTGTACTCCCAAGCGACTCCTTTTTGACTTCAGGTAAGTCATACATTTGTCTCTATCTGCTGAATGAAGTAGAATCAGTGGCGTGTTTTGGCTGAAGGGTCTGGGGGGGGGGGGCGCCAAACCCCACCCGAGCGATATCAGGTGTAAAAATTATATAAAAATTATAACCTCCAAGGGGGGCGTCAGACTCTGTCCCAGGGGCGGCTGCGCCCCCCCCCCCCCCCCCCCCCCCCCCCCCCCCCCCACACCAGGGGCGGCTGCCCCCCCCCCCCCCCCCCCACCGTCTCTGGCTTTACATAGACATGCTGTTGCCAATTTAGATGAGAGTCTGAAAAAGCGCGAAAGTTTCGTAACAAGCATTTCAAGTCATGCAGGAGAGATTTTTCCGGAAAAACCAATCGTACTGACACCGATAGACCTCATGAACAGACCATTGTGTTCATCAGATGCCAAGATTTCAGGCCTACCTCCAAGAAGGGAAAGCTGGACCAAGTAACGGAACCGTGAGAACGTCGCTGTTTCTCATTACGAAGAGACATCGCTTAGTGGAAGTTCCGGGAGTGAGAGCGGAAATCCTGAGCCTGACCTATGAGAAGGGACCTCAGTGGAGGCGTGAACCTGCTCCTCTGAAACTGTTTCCTCCTTAGTTCACAATGATTTCATGACTATTCCACGTATTGAGAATATTCTTCCTTGGCTTGTTAAGTCTTCATTTAGAAAGATGAACTCCTGAAAGACACCTGTTTCTTCCAATACCAAGGGTATGTTAAGAAGTCCGAAGGAATTTTAACGCATGTAGCTCCGCTTTTCACTTTAGCTATTTCAACGAAAATTTCACTGTGCATAGACGATTTTTTTCTTTTGGTCTTCGAAATTTCATTAGAATCCACTGTGCACAGGCAAAGCCAGGAGCAATTAGTCAATAGAATTTGAATATCGAAAATTGACAAGAGCTCGTGTTAGTAATGGAATGGAGAAACGCCCAAGCGCTGTGGGTGCATTTCGTCCAGGTCACATTGAACTTCTCTTCCATTGAAACTCACTCCGATTGGCCTTTTTTGTGGATTGTTTAGATGAGCTTCTCTCCAATGACTGACGGAAGAGTCAGTAGGTATGAATACGGAGATTTCGATTTAGTTTATTCGGATTTTATCTTGATTTACGTCAGAGAACGAGCATTGTTCATTTTCAATGTTCGATTTCTTTAGAATAATTGCTTATAGCAATACTTTGGAGGAACTAATTTGAATAAAATTTCAAATATATGTTGGGAACATGTAAGGTGACCAGACTTAGGCAGATTTAGGCGGGACAGTCCCACTTTCAGACCACATGTCCCGGTGTCCCCCGATGAAGTAAGCGGGACGCCCAAATGTCCCGCTTTTGGAAAATGTCGATGACAGAATGATACGACGGTTGAATTTCTTGCATTGTGAGTTTCAGAACTTCTCCTAAACGTATTGCTTAGGAGCTAAACCAAGAATATCATGGAATATCATGATTATGAATAGCATATCTTGAGTTTTTTTTTTATCCATGGCAACTGCTTAGATATAAATTGGCAATGGGAATTCGGATTACCGAACAGCTAATGAGCCTAAAAACATTCTAGTTCTTGTTAGCAGGCACCTGCTCGTGCGCACTGCAGACGGCGAGGCCGGCCTCACTGCCATCGTTTCCTTTCATATTGCATGAACAAAGTGATACCTTTATACCTCGTAGTTGTCTCTGAGTCAGGGGCTTCAGGCTCTGACTTCCCATCCACGATTCCGGACAGGAGTCAACTTTCAGAGACTGGACTCGACTCGTTTTGCGTCGATTGAGAATGAATTTAATGGTTCTGAGATTTCTTTCAGATATTTGATATCTTAATAGATGTTTTCAAATTGCATGGGAAAGTGACTCCTGAGAATTTTTGAGGAGGCCGGGCCTCCCCCTTGGCAAAAATGTGTCAAAACCCCTGCTTGCTGCAGTAAAGTGAAAATGTCACGGAAGCGTTTTGCACATGTGATGCTGCTGACATTTCTTTTTCTGAAAATGGAAGGACCACGACTCGGATGAAAGTCACGAATAACGTACAGGTTAACGAATTTCCAGTTGCATGCCTCCGCAGTAAAATCTGGGCTGAATCCCGAAATTAACTCTGTTCATCTTTAGCTTTGTTTCGAATATCGAATGCGCTTGTATTATTTATTGTTTAAATTCTGTTTCCACCATTTCATGAAATTTTTTCGTTTCATTTTCTATGTTCGCGTGTTCGACGTCGTTTCGCATTTTCCTCTTCTGGTGATTTGATATCGCCTTCTTGCATCCGGAGACATTTGAAAGACAAGTTATACGAACTTTCCTAAAACTCCCTCTTTAGGGCTGGTTGCGCTACTGTGGATGCACAATTAAATAGCAGCTCTATTTCATGTTTGGCAATAATAAATACGATTGTCGGTCCAACAGATACATTCATATTCTTTTTCGAGAGGCAAGGGGAAGTATTTATTGGGCGTCCCACTTTCGCGACGCAGAAATCTGGTCACCTTAGGAACATGCCAGTCTATGCACAGTACAAGCTTTGTGAAGATTGGGCTAGATCTGGGCTATGTCTCGCATAGCTCAGATCAAGACCCCTGTGACTTCTGGCTGTTTCCTTGTTGAACAGTTAGCTGGACGAAATTTCAGTCGCATCCAAGATCTGTCCAAAGCTGTTCATTCAGAGCTGTGGAGGGTACCCAAAGAAGCAGATGCTGACGCCTTTCAGAAGTGCCTTCACCGCTTGGGTCGGTGTGTGCGATCACAGGGTGAATACTTCGAAGGATTGCAGAATTAACATTTTGGAAATACCGCTTATACTGTAAATAAAATACTAGTTTCAGGAACTTTTTGAACGCCCCTCGTAGCACCCCGAGAGCAGAAATATATTGGTTGAAATTCATGGGTTTTTTTTTTTTTCGGTACCACGTATCCCCCAGGCATCACATCTCGTTGGGGCGACATTGGCTGTGAGTGGGGGAGCGTGGACCAACATCGGAGAGACTGCCCAAGTAGGCCCTACCTCGGCATTCGTGTGGCAGCCTACATTTGTCCTAGCTGTGGGCAAAGCTATCTATCTTTATTTGCGAAGAGCTTGTTTGTTCGAATAATAAAGCGAAGTGGCGCTTAAGTAGCCGCTATTTCAATGGTATCAGGGAGTGACTCGCTATGGGTTCTCAGTACTTTTCATGCATTACTTGATCTTTTCCCTCAGACAATGTAGGAGAAGACACTCGAATTCCTCAATGAATTTGTTTAAACAGGTTAAACAGTCCACCTGCCAGCTGTGGGGGAAGCATCGTTCAAATAGGGGTTTCACTCGATGGGGTGAAGATATTTCAAGCGCTCTGCCGTTGGTTGTGTCGGGCTCCCCATCGGGAGACGTAGACCTGGACATGAAAAAAAAGAGGATAATCCAAGGGATCTAACCAAACAAGCATTTCCAGAGGGAGATAAGAGCCAGAAGAGAGATGGATGAAATCACAAAGGGGTTCTTCTTCCGTGTGGAAAGTGAATGTCTCATAGGGAGACAATCGAGGGAGATAGTAGGGAAAAACACACAATGACGGGTTTGTTAAGGGCCTGTACTCAGTGATAGAATTAAGCATGGAAAATTTCAAGAACTAAGCATGTCAAGCATGAACACCTCTGAAGTGACATACTGTATAAGCTTGCATGTTGCTAGTCCATATCGTTACAGGGCTATTCGTGCTATGGAAGCTAAGCTGATGGATCGGTTCTATGTGATGGGCCACAGCACATAAATCTTCCATCACTGGGCATTTTCCCCTACTACCAGTCAGAGCAAGAGGGACTCCGTGACAAGGTCCCCGAATGGGGAGCTGGACAATGATGTACTCATATAGAAGCGCACTCGAAACCGCTTCTAAGCGCCTGAAAGTCAAGTCGCACGTCAGCGTTTGATGTTTTCCCAATGTGAGGCCGCGGGACAGATATATAATAGCGTAATATTACGCTGATGCCAGGGAAAGGGTTAAAATAAACTTTTACAACATTAAAACAGGATTCTTTACTGTCTGATTTCACGGTGAATGCAGTGATGAAAAGTATGTCCAATGAGGCACTGAACTGATCTAAACATTTGAGGTATGCCCGAACTCATCTCAACATACAGTCGACACTCCATATAATTGTGATGGGCTTGAAATAAGCCCGAGGGCAAGAACAAGCTTTAAAAAGGGGTCCGAAGCCGCACTAGGGGGATTCCACGCCAGACAGTTACACGAAGAATCTGAGGATTCCAGATCGGGCGGACACCCATAACAGTTGTGCAGAAGACGAGCACTACACGCCTTCCAGAGACAAACCTTCCCTTCTTGAGGGGCATACTCATCCTGACTTTCCATTCGGCACAACAACGTTGTATCAACATTGAGAATAGGTTGAAACGTTGAGACTTGGTTGAAGTTGAAAATTTGACGAAAAATCAACATCAATGAAACCCATTCGGCACAACAACGTTGTATCAACATTGAGAATAGGTTGAAACGTTGAGACTTGTTGATTTTTCGTCGAATTCTCAACTTCAACCATCAGTGAAATGCTAGCTATTCATAATTAACC